TTCTTCAATTCACTAATAAGCATAAAGAAAATACCTGATAAATGCGCTAGTTTATATACGTTTAATATTATATATATATATATATATATATATATATATATATATTATGTATGTACATAATAAATGGAAAAAAGATAGATAATATGGAAAAATGTTGTAATTTAAAATTCTTATTAAACTTGAAATCCAAGGACTCTCGAATTTCATCAAGGGTCAATGACAGAAAGGAGGAAAAGTTTTGCACCAAGTATGAAAAAGATCATAAACACCTCTTCGTTTAGCCAGCGTACAACGTAAGGAATGAAAAATGAAGCGCAACGCTTGTAAATATAGACGGAGAAACTTTCGAAATGAAAATGTTCGTGCGCGAGTACATTTACTAAATAATCGAATACTCGTGAGTGTAAGGAAGAAAGAAGAAATAAGAAAAAAGGAAAAGCTGCTTACAAAGCTCCACGTCTCCTTTACACGTGAAAGCGAGCCATCGCCCACTTCTTCGCAATCGTTTAATGCAAATATCCAGGTGCCAACGACTTGCCAAGTAGCCCGCCGAAAATTTCTCGGTCTCTTATCTCATCGCGTGGTTGCACTTTCTTCGAGAGAGATAAATCGGACTGCGGGAGGTACATCGGACTCCGGACGTCCATTTGCATATCTCGAGAGCAGCGCCTCAGCTCGAGCGCGTATCCTCGAGACTTTCCTCCGACGTTCCATTGTTACAGCTAATTTATCAACGACATAATACCCTAATCGGGCGCGGCTCCGGGTCCAAGAACCTGTGACTAATTGAATTGCGCGTATGAATCTTCGCTTAAGCTCGTAGATGCGATGACCGTGAGTGCTGCATGGGGTTACACTTGCACTTTATTGATGGCGATGGTGGCCGGTCACTGTAAATTTTTCTTCCAATTAGGTTTGAGTGTGTCGAGCTTGCTCTCTACGACTTTTCTTACTTGACTTGGTATCCATAAAAATTTTATAAATACAACAAAACAAATGAACCTAGGCAAATGCATTTTATAGTTAACGCTAAATTGCTTCCGGTTATGCTCGAAACGTTATTAAACGAATATTATGTGATTATCTTTTAATAATGATACATTTCCAAGAGAAAGAGAGAGAGAGAGAGAGAGAGAGAGAGAGAGAGAGAGAGAGAACGAGGACAATAACATTATGATTATTCTACATTCAAATGTTCACAATAGCTTCTTTTTTTCCTTTATCAATTTGCCCATTGATATTTTTTTCTGAAGATCTATACGTGACACAGTAACACATCAAAATTGTTATTTATTGTTATTAGTCCAAATGGAAAAGTGGCCAAAACTGATTAAGAAAGTACTAAAATAACAAAATTGTAGATATTGGATATAATAATTCTAAATGCGTGAAAAAAAAAAAATAATTACTTGCAATATTAGTTTATCTTTTGTAATAGATTATTATTGACATAATTAGTAAGATTAATAGTATATATGGACTGATCGAACTGAAAGTTATTTCGAATTTTTATAAAAATTTTTATAAAAAAATTTTATAAAAAAAATAACCAATAATAATACATTTATACCGATTTGTTACATTGAACTTTTTCGCCAATAATAATACATTTATACCGATTTGTTACATTGAACTTTTTGTAAAAAATGGATCATGATAGGTCGAAAGTTCAATGCACTTAATAAATTTAAAAATTTATTAGTATAACTATAAGGTTATTAATAATTTCATAATTTGCGAAATTGTTAAAATTATTGTTTTTTCAAATTATTGACATAACAAACAATTAACATAATGTTTAACTTATGAATAAAAGATTTCTAATTTCACAACAACAGATTAATCAGTTGACAATATTTTAAGCGTCGAATAGTTTTTATTTTCCAATTTGATGGAATGACAATAAAGGCAATAAACAATAATTCATTTAATACGCGAAGTACAATGAAATGCTTTAATCATCAATTCATTGAAAGTGAAAAAGAATCGAATAAGAAATATAAATGTACCACTCATTTTATCGTACATTTTGTAAATGAGAATAATATTCTGGTAAGAACATTTCGTTCCAAGAGTAGTGCTAATCGATATAGCTAATAAGTATCGAAAATTTCACATTCTCATATTAATTTATTCTTCATTATTTATTTATTCTTAATTTATTCTTTCAGTTGTCATTTGAAATGCCTTTCACATACACAAAACATTGAATAATAATTAATTATTCTTGGAAAATATTTCAAAATTAATAATAAAAACATTGCAATTGTTACTCAGCGCATTCCTACGTCGTCATTAAACATTCGACCCAATGAATTGTCTATCCTACGTAATTTATCTGCTTGCCTTGTTAAATTCGCTAATTTAAATAAAACTTGAAATCTTAAGATCCAATTGTCATCTATGATAAATTACGTCATATTTTGTAGGCTAAAAGTAAACTCATATATTTAATTTTGTGGATATATTTAAGAATCGGAAAAAAAATATAATTTAACTAGAAATTTCTCGAGTTGGTAAGGATCTAAATTCGAGCTTTCAATAACGATGTTAATTATTTGACAATACCAATAAAATAATTTTAGGAAATAAATCTTATAGGTAAGAAAAATAGATCGTAATATAACTTTCGGAATAAAATAACTTGTCAAATCAATAAAATATCATTTATACATTTTTTTTTTTTTTTTTTTTTTTTTTTTTTTTAATAAAAGTTCTTTAATAACATTATTTGTTAATTCGTCGTGGAAATTCGAGGATTTGAAAGTATTCAGTGACTTTATAAAGCGCTACTAACTATTAATTATTGTAGCTACAAAATCTTATTACAAAACTTATAAAAAAAAAAAAAAAACATTATGTTCATTTATAGTAAAAAAATGATTTTATGAGACTAGTCCATCTTTGCTTGACTCAATGATATTGGACTTAAGAATCTTTGAATCCTTCACTTAGCCTTTCGTCAAATCAGAAATAAATAAATATTTGATTAATAATATGAGTTACTTAAGTACTTGAATGTCTATCCTCAATCGAAGTGTTAAATAAATTGTTGTATATTATTCATTCATATCAGAAACTTTATCTTTACGAAAACTTGGTCATTTTACACTTATTGATGAGAGGTGAAAATTGCAATTTATGTAACTAAAATTTATGTAATTAAATATTTAATTCAACTCCAAAATCATATAATCTAATAAATTCTAAGAGACATATCTATACTTCGAGACAGATAAATTGATCATTAATTGTAATAAAATGTTACATAACAACATAGAAATCTGATATTTTAAGAAATGAAATGCAACATGTTTGACAAGACTATTGCCGGCTAATAATAATAAGATGCTCATGCGTACCGATGTTCCTTGTGAAAAAAACAAACACGAATAATATATTAGATGAACGAATACAAACGTAAAAACTCGATAAACTTTTTGATCCACCTTTCAAAACGAGATTCTAGGCTATAAAAAGTGACAGCGATTCTACGAGGATCAGCGACCTCGATCGCGAAAGCAAAATCGCACGAGTGCGCTCATGTTCTCTCTCTCTCTCTCTCTTTCTGTCTTGAAGATGAGTCTTAAGCAGGCAGACAGACAAAGCGTATGCGTGTAATCCATGTGGAGGCGAGTGCGCAGAAAGGAAAACTGAAATTTTCTCCGTGCGATCCAAAACCACAAGCAGGACTCGAGCCGTCGAATTATAGTAATTTAACGCGCCCGTGAACTTTTTCATGATCCATCGCCTGAGCTACGTTTCAACTTGGCTTTGTTTAGTTGTCGTTGATGCGCGATATTCTACGAACGTAGATGGATGCGCGTGTATCACGCGATGAGAGAGAGAGAGAGAGAGAGAGAGAGAGAGGACGGGCGGAGAGAAGTAAAAAAATAACATTGAGTTTCTAAGCGTAAGTTGTACGGCGAAAGAGAAAGTACATGTGTTTGTTTTTTTCTACACGTTCTTTTATTATGTAAAAAGATTGTTCTACATATTTCATTTATTTCCATAATGTCTCAAGTTTACTGACTGATTTGTACGATCAATTATTCATTTTTCTTATCAAAAAAAAAAATAAATAAATAAATAAATAAATAAAATAAATAAATAAATAATAATAAGAAAAAAAAATCATGACCTGGGACAGGATAGAGGGAATCATAGAGTAAATCGTCAATGAAATGATTTGATTTTTCAAACTACGTGTATTGTTATTCCTTGTAATATGGCTGTTTGTGATGAACTTGGGACATAAATTCAAGTGGGAATTTTTTTATATTTACAATATTCCTAATGTCACCCGATATTACAAGTAACATAAGCTATGGAGCTTAGATTTACACTATATATTCTATAAGTTGCAACTCTAGACAGCATTTGTTTTTATTTGTTCATCTTACCGAATTAATATTGAAATGAAATATCAAATTCAGCCAGCACAGAGATACGCAAGATTTTCCCTGCCATACATTATTCTCGTATATCACATTATTTTTATATCGCAAGAGCAATACATGCACCTTTCGCACATCGATCTGAAATTTTACATTATGACAAATATGCCGATTAAATGTTGCAAAGTATCGGTTGAATGGATCATTGTATAAACAATATAATACCATCTTTTCGCATCTTTCATTTGAAGATTCGCTTATGAGATAAATAGCCGCAAGATAGGCAATTTCGCTAGAAATGCAACTGATCGTAAGTCTTTATAATTAAATTAAATATATTATCATAAAGATGTTGAAAGCAGCCATGTACGCAGCTATGTACGCGATACCTTTTAGCATAATCGTAAATGAAATTGAAAAATGTGTGCATTTCACACGCGCGTAAACATTAAATCCTTCAACCTGAGATCCCATATTCTCCTGGAATCGCACGACTGCCAAGCAAACAAACAAACCCAAGTCGACAAAACTGAAATTTACATAAGCCCTTATCCAGCGCATAATGAAAGTCCATCATCTATTATTGTAATCTTGCAATTCCAGCGAGCAACGAGCAGCACGACAAGGACAGCCTGAACGAAACGGGGAGCACGACGGGCGGTATCGTAGATGGTGCCCCAGGAGGGGCCGGGCCATCCTCCAGGGTAGAAAGAGGCCTCGACGGAGACTCATCCATGCCACCATTGCGCAACCACTCGCCATCCCCCAAGTCACTCGTCTCGAGGATACTGGCGAGGTCGAGGACGCCCGACGACCTTCTCGACCAGTCCGAGCCATTGTGAGTACCAGCAACACGCGCTACCCTTACTTTATTCGTTTGCTACTCGGGATTGAGCGAGACGGGCGAACGAGGACGCTTTTTATGCGCATTAAACGACGAGCCGAGAGCATTAAATTGTATAATTGAATCGATCACAACGACTCGCGAGCAACAAGTTGTTATCGCAAAATCGTGGCTATGTAAAATATATTGTCTCGCAAGAAGAATCGGCAAAGCAAAGGTCGTTTAAAAAATTTTCATTCCAAAGTTTCCACGTCCGTATAACCGTAATGATCGACCTGGCATCTCGATGTCCCATTTCATTCACACTATTCGGCCAACTAATCCCCTTAGGCATTAAAGTGCCAAAAAATTGCCAAAACTTGACAAGTGAAGGCATTTATGAACTCGGGCCGGATGTTCTTTCAAATTTTTATAAATTAATGTAATTACCGAATCAATACGTGAAACGTTTATCCGGCGATAATCGAGCGAATGTTCCGTTCGCGGCTTTTTGTCAATTGTTTACGACGGCGATTAAAACACCCGCCCCGGGCCAATCTCATCAGTGACCGTATAAATCTTCGGTAAACGCTCGCGTCAGGATGAAGAGGAAGGTGGTGTATCGCTCACCCGAGACTCTTTTCGAAATGTGAAAAACCTCTTCCTAACGTTCCCACCAAATCGTGTCTCGTCCTCTAACCAGTCGCTCCTCCAACTTGCAGTTCAGAATTATGGGTGGTCCTGTCCAACGTCTACGGGGAGCTCGTGATCGTGCTGACGATGGCCCTGTGCCTGGCCGAGGTCATGGACACACCCGTGCCACTGCTCAGTCTGCAGGTAAGTCGCTGGCTTTCTCGCGAGGCAACCGAGCGAGAGGCGATTTTCACGGCACCCAGGCCGAGGGCAAGGACATTAGAAAGAAATTTCACGAGCGGCCCGAGGTCACTGTAAGTGACCCAACGGCATCGATATAATCTCTTCGGTCCGCTTAGTTTATCACTTCACTTCTGGCTGTAATGTCCGCTTATGGGATACTTATGGGAGCTCGATGGAACTCTAGAATATCCGAGTATATAAATTATGAATTTCTTGATTATTCACGACGCGACAGCCTGTTAACAATGTCGGTAATAATGCAATATGTCAGTTGGAATGAGAATTAGTTATTTCACGGCATATTTCGCTAGATTCTTATTCTTGGGATGAAGGGAGGGGAGGACGATGAAAACAGTCACGACAGTGCTAGACACTGCTAATGGAAAAAGATGCTGTCTTGTGCTCTCCTAAGCAAACGAGAGGCGATCATTGCTATTTGTTAAATATTGTCGCTAATTAGTGATGTCGTAAATCGTTGGTGTGTTTGGGCCTGGATCTAGTTCGTCCTCGATCCAGTCGTGTACGGCTGGATGAGGGGGCGGTGTCAATCCCCTATGATACTTTCATTAGTTGAATCTCGTAAATGTACGCCCGACCATTACGCATAGGGGCTGACGAGGGCAACTGTAACTCATTGCTATATAATCGCGAAGTTCTGATAAACGTATCGATTGGATGATAATAATGGCAACGTGAGACATAGATCGAAGGAAAAATATGATTGGCAACTTTCATTTGCGTAGTGTTAGGAAAGCAATTACATCAATTAGTTGAAAATAATGCTTCATTGTTTTGTATAAAGTACGTGCGAATGGAAAACATAGTTTTTTTTTGTTATTTTTTGTTTTTTTTTTTTGTTTTTTTTTTGTTTTGTTTTGTTTTGTTTTGTTTGTTTGTTTGTTTGTTTGTTTGTTTGTTTGTTTGTTTTTACGTAAGATTGTACAACCTGTGTTACAAATCTTAAGCTGCTATATAAACTGCATATGGAATTTTGTCGAAGTAATTAGAAAGAAAAAAATTCTCAAGGTTAGATACGATCAAATAGATTTTTATTTAGATGCATAATTTTTATAGAACTACGTTACGTATATTTTATGGTAATAAATAGATGAGAATATCTGGCTTACTTACTAATATCGATCTTGGTCGTAAAATACAGAATAAACGTATAATTTTAGACGGTAACGATGTGCTTCTACGTAGAATAATACAAATAATCTATAATATAGCATATAATGCGTTAACATGTGTTATGTTTTAATATCAAATAAATGAAAACAAAAAATTTTCAATGCCGATTGATCGTAAGCTGTTAGGGATCAGAATTCAAATAGCATTAAAAAGTTTTTACGAAATTATATTAGTTCATAATGATTTGTTTCTTCGACTAATACGATAAATTATTATCCACTTCCATAATCCATATTAAAGCAAGTAGATACTACTTACGACTATAATTACATTAGACTTGTAGGTTAACCTACGGAAAGTACTTTCGTCACATTTAAATAACAAATGACCACCTTACCAGCAGGGAAAGTTGAAGAAAACGTAAAAGAAAGAAAGAACGTTTTAAAAATTTTAAAATGTCTTATAAGAATATTGCTCATTTGCATAGATTTGAATTGGTTCGATTAGTGCGCGGCAAACAGTAAATATTATTTCGGAAGAATTTACTTTTATCCTATGTTTATTCGTGAAAGTTTCGAAAATGAAAATTTATAAGACTCTAAAAATTCATGATGTTGTATTACGTATCGTTATTGTTTGACTCGCCACGTGCCGTCGTAAAGTCATATTTTAGATGTAAATTCATAATGGCCTAGGTAAAGCTAATGCATACATTAGAAGAACTGAAGTTTATTTACTTACCGAATGTGCAGATAGATACTGCGTTATATTTTTGTATTTATAAATGTTGATACGTTGACTCGTAACTTCACTACTTTATCGACTGCTCAATGACCACAGTGCTTCAACAAATCGAGCCCTATTACACTTTCCTCAAATGGTCCCTTTAAATTTACAAATTTATCCGCGTAGCCTGTGATGCGTAAAATCTTATAAGAAAATCATTAGACGAGGCGTTAGTTCTCATAAAAGCGCGTGATAAATAGTTTCTGAAAAGGAAAAAAGTTAGCAACTAAGTGATGTGAAAAAACCAGCCTTGACAAAGCAAACTTTCTCAAAAGATGCTATATATGCGTGAGCAATGACTCGACTCGTGCTTTCAATACACGAGGAAATAGTCCGATTTCTCAAAAAAGAAAGTGCCGCGTTTAAATTTATTCACGAGGAAATATGTCGGGAATCGCGTAGAAATTAAGATCCCTCGGTTTAACCGGAGATTTTGACGAAGCCGTGCGACCATTGCCCCCTCCAATCATTAATACTCGAGTATTTTAATTTTATTTTCACCGATCGCTCCGATATGCAGTTATACGCAATAATATTGCGCAAACCTCTTGGTCTCGAGACATTTGGTTAAAAGCGCGCGACATCGCTGCCCGCCAATCCCGTCTCGCATTAAATCGAAAAGTTATCGATTTTTGAGGAAAGTGTCGTCTTGTCGAAATATAAATCGTAATGGCCACGAGGTTTCTCTAGGTATAGAGAACCATTAAACGAGTACTCGGAATACCCGTCATATGCCTGACAAAACATTCGATTCTAATTATAATCCCAAGAGTATTAATATCCATGAGAAGAAAATCTTTGTGCGCAACAATAACAAATAACAGCGTGGACTCGGTGCGCGGGGACATTTTACCTCGGTTAAAGAGCACATATGGAGCACGTTCCCTCGGCTCATCGGACAAATTATAACCGATACAATGAAGTTCTGATGCGCCTCTTAAGCCTCGTACTCTCGAATTCCACGGTGTTGGCGACCAAGACAATCCGATCAACGCGCAACTTCAAGGAAAGCCGCGGTTCGTTTGCGCAAGGACAATAAGGATACTTCCTCGGCCCTCGGAAGCGTATCGCACAATAATATAATGCAGCCTCGGCTATAAGAGAGAATCCCCGCGCGTGTAAGCCGAATTTTAGATAAACGCTGAGTCGCATGAGGGGAGTGGGGAATGGGGGTTAAAATCCGATTTGCGAAATTAGCATGAAATAACGGCGATTACGGATCGCGCAAGGGGGTCGGTGTGAAATTATCGCGCGATGTGATGACGATGATACGAAGCTCGGACGCGAGGGTATTGGTGTTTGGAATCGAAGGGAGTTTGGACTTTAGGTAGGAGTTTTAATGAAAATTATCCGGCTTCTCGACTAATGCCGATACCATCCAAGAGAGCGATTCACCGGCTTTTATGCATTAAATGTTAATTAAAATTTAGCTTTCGCTAATTCATACGTATGAGTCGTAAAATTTTTAAAGCGATCGCGTATTAAGCACGAATCAACCAAGTATTTAAAAATTGATTAATATAATAATTTTTCATCTAATATTCCTATAGTGTATTAAAAAATTCAATAGATAGACAAAATGTTAATAGATAGGTCTTTCTTAATAGGAGAATAGAAAATATTGGATAAAATAATATATTTTACAATAAATGTACGATAATGTTTATTATTAAATAATTATCAAATTTACATGGCGTTAATGATAATAATTAAGTGATAATGGCAATATGAATTGCGGACTGAAATTCAAATAAAAGACAATGGAAGAACGCCACAGTCAATAATAATCATCGCGCGCGCACACGCGCATCGTATCTCTGATTGTTCATAATAATGAAATTTAATTTACAATTAAGTTTTCACCCCATGTCTGGAACCATTAATTCGCCAAACAAGCGAGCCAGGATATCTTAAAGCTTGGCTGCTTCGAACGAATCTGATAATCACCATAAAATTACATATATTTTAACGGCTCTGTTTATTATTCCTAAGACTCCTGGCGATATCTTATAGTAAATCGCACTACTTCCCGTGCGCATGCTCGGTGATGGAATTATGCATGCTTTCGTCGTACCAAATCGATATAACGCGAATCTTTGCAATTGCATCAAACGCAAACCTGTTCGCAAACATCGAGGAACTATTAATTAATTAACATTCATCGACTCAAATAAATATCCCAGTAATTAGATGCCCGTAAAAATAAATAATCTCGGTTAGAGGCTAGAAAATTTCTATGATACCGAGCA